CTTATGTTTTCAGGAGCGAAACACTATGATAGCTCTGATATGTCGAAGTATACCACAATTCGGCTGTCTTCTATATCTGTGTATAAGTATACCAGGGCGGTGTTACGAGGCTTTTAAAACCAAGAAAAATATATTTGAAACTATATCTGAAGACTACATTTCTGAAACACTGGGCGATATCAAAGATTCGTACGTCGGAAGACATGTTCGTAAACTGTTCATTAAACCAAAACCAAAACCCGAGTAAGTTAACTTACTACTAGCTCATGGATGTAGGTTGGAATTTGGATGGTTCAAGCGTTTCGAGGAAACCAAGGGGCACCTTGATCCGCTTAAAATATATTTTTATCAATTTCTTCCGTAAAATGTTTAAAGAATGACTGTGTTTTCCCATTCATTGTTCCAAATCAGATCATTTTGTACTGTAGTTCATATTTTTGAATATTATAATACTCAAATCTAAGGAAATAGCTAGTTTGATGAAAAGGATTTAATGACATGAAATCCTATAGTTAGACCAGATTTGAATATGCATTTCCGAAAATCAACATATCTTTAGTGTTCAAACTGCTTCACGTTTTTCATATTTCATGATAATAACTACAACCAGAAAACAGATTTTTATAGCATTTGCTAAACTGCCGACATGTTTTCTGGATTAAAATCCTTCACCACGTCAGTTCGGTTTATTTGAACGTGTTTGGTAATGGTTCAACAGACTGGACTGTGCGAGTCAATTTGACTTTTATTGCCTTTTACAGGTTACCTGACGATTTTAAAGGGAAACTAATCATGAAGCTGAAGTTGTTTTGGAATCGATGGGTTTACAAGAGAGACGACGGTAATTACACGAATCTTTCTGATTCTGAATGTGAATGAATATCAGATACTTTTACCGCCTTTTACTATCCAGACAGTGGTCACAGTTCTCTCCGATGATGTTCCCAATGATAGATGAACAAATCAGCTGTGTTCACTCGAATGCTTGGGTATAGTTTGTGGTGTCTTGAAAGTTGGTTAAAATTGAATTCATTATGATTTTGTCACATGCCATTGACATTGATTTTGACATTTACCTAAATGGATCAAAATTGAAAGAGGTTCCTTCCATCCTCAACTAATTTGATTCTGTCGGTTTACTTGGTTGATGTGACTTACTATAAAATCCTTACTGTAAAAATGTCTTTTTCTGCACCCCCTTTTATTGTGTACTTTCACATACAGTCCATAGAGTCCAAACCCAAAACCTTCATATATTTTCTACCCCGATTACTGGGGTATGGCAATAGGTCCGCCTACTCGACATTCGTATCAAAGCTAATGATGATTATGTGGTATATTAGATTACCTATCTTTACAGTCCGATTGTTTTTTTAGGATTTGAATATTCGTCCAGATTCCAGTCGGTAGTCTTTGTTGGTGTGTTGCTAATATATATGGTAAGACATTTTTCGCTTCTAGTGATGGTAGTGTTATATGATAGGGTTCCATGGACATGAAAAATGACCGCGATACCTCATATGCATAATCGTTACAGTCCCTATATATTGATTCATTGGTGCGTTCGAGGCTGGGAGGAAAACTACAGAAAGCTGATTTTGTTTTGATATTTCTATTTTATCATGTATATCTCCTGAAAATGATGTGCTTTTTTTTTTTTAGAAAAACCAGAATTTTGATTTATAGATGGAGTATAGTTAGTTATCACCTCTCTCTTTGGTTCTTATATAAATTGTATAAGCTTCCTCGGTCTTAAAAGGCAAGGAACCTTGCATAATGAACTTCTTATTTAATAATTTCAGCTTTTTATTTCGCATATATTTTAAATTATACCCAGTATAATGTATACATGTATTTTTTGCAGCTTTCCTTTGAGTTTCTGGTACAAGGAATAGCACTATTCAGGTATGCATCTTTGTTAATGGACAAACTTATAGAGATTAAACTCCAAGATGGTTCCCCAGCGGATGAAATTGAATATTTAAGACTGTTTTTGTATTTTGCCAAAGCCTTTCAAAGTAAGTTTGCAAAATAAAGCTTTATGGAATATTACCACATTTACTTGGTGTATAGTATTCTCTTTTCTCTCATGCGCATCTCTCCAAAGCTGCTGCCTTTCCGGTTTTCACAATTCTAACAAAATTTAGAAACAACTATATTTTACATGGATAACAACTTAGATTCATAAAAGATCTATTCTACCAACTGTTTCTTAGCCAAATAGAGTAGGGTTTACACGAGAAGAGTTATTGTCAGTGACCACGCTCAAATTGGTTCAAACCAAATGATTTGTGCGACTGTGACTTTATAATCTGGTCTAATACAGTGGCGTGTCCACAGTGGAGCCAATCCCCCGGAATGAGATTATCCGGCTTTGCCTTCCATCTGTTTCAAATTTATTATCATTGAGTTCTTGATAGCCTGGTGCTGCCCCCTCCCCTGGTCCTTTCATCAATAAACACCAATGATCAAATGTTTCCAAGAGTACAATGATGCTGTAAATAGAAGCTATGGCTATAAGTGTATTCGTAAATAGGTCAATCCTTACGGCATGTGACTATGAGTAAATAATGAAATAAATATGTTTATTTTTCAGTAAGTTTTATTCTGGCTATAGTTTTTACCATCTTTGTAAATTTAATATCAATCTTACATACCATGACGTCCTACAGGTAAATATAGTTTATTCAGTTTAATTAATTTTGATACGACAATGTTATTTCCAATAGCCGAAAAGCAGAAAGCATGTTAAAATCTTAAGCTCAATAAGGTAGGCGTGAAGCAATAAGACACATAAAATTGCTCAACTATTATTGCGAAACTTATTATCATAAGCCCAATAAGATTCTCAACAGGACGATACAAACTTAAAAATACTGAGCTCAAATATGTGCAAAACATAAGCATGAAGGTATCATGTTGTCGTCAAGATATCCATACATAATACAAGTACAGTGGAGCCGATAATCCGGATACCCCGATATCCGAGGTAATTAGTGTGGTTGAAAAAAACCAGTTTCTATTGACAAGCAACTATTCACTATTCAACAGAAGGCACTAGCACAGGGTTAAAGTTGTGTTTAAATGTGTTTTCATTTTAATATAAAATGAATTCAAATCAAAGATGAAAATCATATATAGTTGTCATGTATTAATATGATTATACATGGACTTAGATGGATTTTCTAGGGTACAATTTTATTATTTCAGAAAGAATTTAAGAGATTTACACAAGGGCATTCATAAACAAATCCCAGCAGCTGATAAACGCTCCAACTCAAGCCTCTTGGTAAGTTTGGTGCGAGTGGTTGGACAATACAAAAACAGACCTTATAGCTGGTCTGTAAATTTATTAACTCGTGTGAAACACACGTTCTTCAGAATAGACATAACTAGCATTGATTTCCCCGAGTCCAATGATGCATCCTAGAGTAGCAAAATTCCCATCTGTTTTTGAAACTTACCAAAGACTAAATAGATAAAGTCAGTGAGCTTCTAACTAGCTGATAACAGTCAATCAAACTTTCAGAGGCCAATTAAGTAGGCTTCTAAATCTACACAAGCTGCAGGAGAATCGCCAAGTTTGTAGCTGGCAACTGTCATACAAGAGGTTGGACAATAGCCAGTATGCTTTAATCTACAATATATCTGACAACTGATGAATCAAGCTCATAATATTTAGGAAATGTCACATCACATTTTTTTTTGTTTTAGGTTGGAAGTATGAGGTATGCCGGATATCAAGTAGGATATATAGCTTGGGGTACGTGTACATTTACATTTTCATTTTGACCAGTCTTTAAGTATTTGCTTTAGCGATAAAGCTCGAGTTCAGCTATCCGTTTGTCATTCCACAAGCATTAATGACAAATAGTCAATATGGCCACAATTCTTGCTTTGATATTTAGAACGTTGGCACATTTCAATTAAAAATGGATTAGAGTGTATGCGAGATTAGCTGTCATCAAAGATTAGGAACTGAAGGACAGAACCTGGATAGTGTTATATGATGATGAGAACATAGTCTCAAAGTAAAGATTTATGATAAAACAAAGTGCAAGTTAAGATAATTATGTTAACTAATTATCGTGTTTTCTAAACGACCCCTGGCCATCTGATTTTATAAAAAAAATCATTGAAATATTGTAGGTTTTGTAATTCAAGCTGCTATATTTCTGCTGTTATCTATGGTAATATCGACACTGGTTATATTACTACAGGCTGATCTGGATGCATGGTTTATTAGTTTAGTGATGTGGTTGTGGTAAGAAAACTTTCAAATCAGCATTTTTTTATTTTTAATGTATTACGCAATATCCAAATCAAGCAACCTAAAACTGATAAGTAAAAATGATATCGTGTACCAGTATGGCATTCTCACGAGACATACACATAAAACGGTTAACAATCGAACTAAGTCGTTTTGGCGAACCAAAATCATATTCTTAATCCTACTGTTTGAAGCCACATCACTGTTATGATGTTCATCTCCACTGGCGAAACAATTGCAATTCTAGGTGTGGTGAACGACTGAAGAATGTGTCTCTGTTTGGATCTCTTTCTGATTTTTTACATGTTTCCACAATTTCATTCCAGGCCAGTCATCTTATCTGCTGTTATCATCAATGTCCTACAAATATTATTAGCCAAGTTTTTGTTTCTACAAGAAAGGGGAGCTAACCTCGCCCTTGAAAATAGGTAGGTCCATAGTGAGATATTGCAAATAACAGTACATTGAACATGATATTGAGTATGACAGTAGGTAACTGTATGTTAAACTGTATTTTGACTCGGTAACGATGTTCTTTTTATCAACGCAGACAGCTTCCTACCAAAACCATTATTAGGAATTAGATTAAGAGTTGAATAAAGATGATATCTTTTAATATTGGCCGAAAACAAAGTTTTTCCAGATATATCGTGGTTGATCACTGATGGAGTAAACATCCACGAGGCGTTATGTACTTACTTTTTCATTTGCCAGACGGTTGCTGTTCTCCTTCACCTACTTTATGTTTTTCTACAATATATTCCTGGGTTTAGTATCCTGTTTATTAAGAATAGTCAAAGCTATTGTTCTAGGAGCGCTATTATTATCTAGATTAGACAACAGTACATTACCACAGAAATTCCAGTTTTTTGATCCAGGTGAGTCCTCCAATTGTTCATATTCTGGTCACTGTACTTACATGTGATTCCACAGGCCTATACCTAGTAAAATAGCCCATTTGTGAAATAAAAATGCGGACAAGCAGAACATTTCTGTTATCCACAAATTACGTGTAAAAGAACAGGAGGAATAAGTAGTTAACTTAATTGATGTTCTGTTACCTTCCTCTGTTACTGTACTTACATGTTATTCCACATATTTATACCAGTTACTTTCATCAAGGTGTAATCACAGTAAGTTTGTTTTCTCGATAATCAATTTCTAAAAATTCGATGCGATTTATTGAGATTAATCTTACAACAATGTTCATCGATGAAAGTATACACACAGAGTGACGAAAATTCCGACTTTTCGAAAAACACAAAAAACGAAACTATTCTGGCTCGATCGATAATTGGAATTTACCCCCCATCGTCTGTGCCTCTATTTTAACGCTGGCAGTATTATTTCTGTCAATAATATAAGTTGTTATTAGTAAGGTTCATGATTTCATATACTGTGCTATGTCTATCTTTTATGAAACTGAATCAATAGCCCTTTAAGTCAAATTATTTCATTAAAAGTACTAAAATTATTGACAAGGACACATCAAAAGATGATATACCTAAATACATTGTCGCAAAAGATATCCTGACAGGCAACATCCTCCAAATTAATTGTAGCGGATCGTCAAATGAACACCAGCATAGGTATGGATGTGGAACAAAATTTAAATATTGTTTTTGTATTTTGTGGCGGATTTCATGGCTTAAGGTGCCTTTTAATTAGAAATTTGGAATATTGTTCTGTATCATGTAATTCATGTCAATTTTTTCAGGTTTCGCAGCTTATGTTGGTTTTATGCATATAGAAAACTCTCATAATCACCCGGTAGTGTTGGTGTTAGTAAGAATACTTCTGGCCAGTCGCAGAAGCAAACTGAAGTCCGCACTAGTTGGTATAGGTCGTGGTGTTAGTAACATTGAGACAGGTACTGGAACTATAGGTATGTATTCCCTACAAACTACGTGTACATTGGATTTGTAAGGGAGATGCCGAATTGACAAACTTATTCGAGGAGTGCTGTAGAAGGGTGATCATGCCATACCTTGATAAATTATGAAATTTAATTGATTAGGAATTAAAAGAAAATAGACTTTTAGTGGAGACTTATTGTTCTGTACTTCAGGTCGGCTTTCCAAAGAAGAAAATCGAAGAAAAAAAGCTGCGAGGTTTAATTGGCATGTAGCTTATACGCTAATCAACAATCCCGAATTGAGACTGTATAGAAAAGGATATTTGTATGCGTTAAAGAAAGCCAAAGAGAGTGGTTATATTATTCCAGTGTCTGACAATTTCTCTACTGACTTATCCTTACTTAAACAACCACAGAAACCAAAAATAAACAATCCTAATTTTCTGAAGAGTGTCAAAGAGGATGGTATAATATTTGATGTGTCACGTCACCAGATAAACAGACATATTCCACGGAAACAGAAATGTAGAGATACAAATGTTTAGACGTATCTTGTCTGGGTCTGATTTCCCAACATGTCTATAGACCATGTTGTAATACAAAAATCCATTGGGATATTTTCCGGGAAGAAAAGACTATAAAGCTTCTACAACCCACAAAACAAAAATATTGACGTCAACAATCTGACAAGAGTACATTGGGAACCTTAAACGTATACCCCGTCATTCTGCTGTAGATAAAAAAATTGTAATTTCTATCTACTAAATTCTGTCAACAGTAGTGTGCATCAATTTAAATTGACCAAATCTATATAAAGAATGTTAACTGAACCATGGATTATCCATTGCTCTCTTCGGAAATTCGAAGATATATTTTTTTTTAGAAAGTTGTGTTTTAAATAATTGAATGGTTAAATGATCAAACCCCTACGATTTGCATCGATGTTTTCTTGTGTTTTAATTTCTTTTTGCACCACCCTGATTACTCGTAACAACGTTTGAAATATCGAAATATGCACTGGAATGATGTATAGTATACGACGGTTCATATAATGAACTTGTGACTCTACTACATCTAAAAATCAAAATCTACTGTAGTATATTGAACTAGCTGTAGTTTATGTTAATGCTTGTTTATTAGTGCTAGATGTTTGTTGTTTTGTTAATCGTTTCATCTGATACAGATTTAGATTTTTCTTCGACTGTTAATTATTATTGATTAATGCTAGTGCCAAATTTTGGTTCGATATACTTTAACTAACCAATCAAAAAAGGGTAAAAGCGGATTGGCGTTCGAGCATGCCTTGCAAAGGATGGACACGGCTTTCAATGGATAGATATCCATGGTTGGATATTTTAATATCCTTAACATCGTGTTACAAGTCAATTTTCTCAAATCAGGATATCAAATACAGAACAAAAAACGAAACTTTCAGGTTGTATCGTTTTGCTTTATCTTATCTTAAAGCAGGAATTGTATTTGAGAATGTATAGTGCTAAACGAAAGGGTAGAGAACTACTCAGTATTTCATTTTAATATTGTTAGTTTGTTTTAATTATGTTGTTATTTTTATATTATAGTTTTGATTTTCATTTTGCATGTATAAAACAAGATGTAACATATAAAAAAAATACCTCCAATCAGCAATGGCTAAATTTTCTATTAAGTGACAATTTAGTTATTAAGAATTTCTCAATAATGTGACATTTGATTGTCAGTTAGCGTTAGCTTCTAAATAAGTTAAATAGTATGTATTAAAAATTTTCGCTCTTAAGAAGTGAGATCAGAAATTACGGAATACAACCCAATATTACAGTCGAAACCTGGTGGCAGATATAGCTATCATTAGCGCCATATAACCTGGATGCAACATGCAAACAGTGTCAATATATCTATTTCATGTGGGCGTATAATAATGATAGGAGCAATATATTTAATTCACTGTGTAATATGAATTACTATTACATGTATTACATGACTGTGTTCTGTGCAAAATTTATTTCCATAATATTTTACATTACGTTATTTTTTAATGATTATCATCTGCGTTACTGGACTGATAAATTCTGAGTTGCCAAATTTTGTATTCTTTAATCGTGAATTATTTATTACATAAAATTTAATTTTGAATTTATTATTTATAATATCTATATCTTTCTTTAAGCCAGTTTATATTCTTTATTACTTATTTAGATGACGTGACAGTCACACCTGGAAAAAATAAAAATATACATTATAACTTTATGGTAATTTGTCTTCGTATTTTTGTGAACGAGTTCGTGGCATATAAGTGAAATAACCAAATACAAAGTCTTAAAATGTACAAAAAAGTACACGATTCGGATTGTACACGTCATTATTATATTTGCATAAACTAAGTCACAATCTAATAGACGCATTTCGACAAAGATATATATCATCATTTACAGAATCGATACCAAATTTACAAACTTAAGAGTGTACCGTGAGGGTGGGCGTGATCTGTAAAGCGTCGCCATTCACATTTCAATCATTGTGGGCGTGTCCTGTCATACTTTCCCCAAAATTCACATCCCAATTTCTGTGGGCGTGTCCTGTCATACTTTCCCAAACATTCTCGTCGCAATTATGTGTGCCCTGTATAGCTTGTATCGCCATTCACACATTCTAATTATTGTGGGCGTGCCCTGGCTCTTTAACGTCACCATTCACATCCCAATGATTACCAAGAAATAAATGTAATTAATATCCTTTAAATATATTACTTACCATTAGAGAAATCAATATTCAGGTTCAAGCCACCTTCAGACAGAGTAAAGGATTGAGTGTGGACCACCTGTCTATTTCTCTTCACCTTCAAAGTGTATTCACCTCGAAACGCATTATGACTCACTGACCCATTTCGTAATGACCTATTTCCTTTTGTTCTCCATTCTGTTTTGAGTAAATGTTGAAGTCGTGCTCCACCTTCGTTTGGCTAAAATAAAACGCATGGTTCAATTATTGACATTTTCATTTGTTATTACAGATGATGGGATGTTTATTAACCTCTGAAATGGACCTTATGGTTCATTCAAATTGGAATGCCTGTATACCACTATCTTCACGATGTCGATCTATTATGAACTAGTATGCAAACTCATTTCTCAATCTGCTTTCTAGTACATTCATTTTGCTTTTGGAATATATTCAATGTTACCTGAACGTTATCAGCTGGACCTTCAGCCAAAGCTTTCTCTGGTGCACTAATCTTACCAATCCAGAATCCCCAGAGCATGATGCCTTCAACAGCAGGATGACTGAAGTACAGCCGCATTACATCATCTAAGTACTCAGCTTGAGCTGTTTTATTCTCATTGGTAAAATCTAATTCAGTGATCCATATTGGTAACCCCAATCGAGCAATTCTGTCTAACCGGAACTGGAATCAAAACATTGTATTATTTACAATTCTGGCCAGTAAGTGTGCTGTCGGACTACACATTTTATAAGGGGATCTTTGAAGTAGCTTTATATCTAATTAAGCAACATTGTTCTGCCTTGTACATCTTATTACTTACCTTTAATACCGACGGCTCCATGTAGTTATTAAGATGACTTTGTATTCCAAATCCATAAATAGGTACTCCGGCTTCCTTCAGCATTTTACCTTGGTTATAGTACGACTAGAACAATAAGAATAAATTAGACAACGAATGTCATATAACTATGTTGCATATTGGATTAAGATATAGATATTATATTCCCGATTTCAGCGTTATTGGGAAATAAACGGATCAAAGAACCTTACATCTTACAATGTGCTCTATAATTTCACTCCAGTACATTTTTAAAGGTACCAGTTCTCAGTCTTAAGTAATAGTGAATCGGTTATCCCTTGGAATGGACATCAGAGTTCCTTGCCATTATGGTAATTGTATGCGTGTATCACATGGTGCATCACTCTAGTACTCATTCTTAAATAGTTTAAGCTCTAGAAGTTTCTCAAAGATACATGATAGTGCAGTATATTTCCACTTTGATCTGTGTACTGAACGCTTCATTTCAGCCTGGAACTGTGAAGAACTCGTTTAAGAAAAAGCAAAGGACGTACAGAACCAGCATATCTTTCGTTAACAATTCCAAAATCATTGAGAAAGAGTTTGACATCAGGATCACGTTTATGGATTTCTCTAAACATCCACTGAGTAATATTAACATCTCCAGTTCTTTCTTCATAATAATTACCATGAACATTCTCATTATTTACATCCCAATGTTCTAATCTGTAATAGAAAAATAAATCACATAATAAATAGCATAATAGTTTTCCAAAACATTCCGTGCTCTGATCTGTAATAATAACACAATCAATAACATAATAATAAATAATATAATATTAATTCTAAAACACCCCAGTGTTCTAATCTGTAAGAATTATATCAATAACTAACATAATGTAACATAACATACAAGTGTAATAAATATCGTGATAAATGTAAAAAAAAAATATTATAGTTAACATTATTTGTAGTAAATAACATAATACGTAACATAATAAAGTTATAAACAACATTCAAGTGTTTTCCCCAGTTATAAATGTGTTAAAACATACAAATAAGTAACTAAAATAAATCAAATAGAAGATTAGTGGGTTGAGTGAGTTAATTTGGAATGGCATCCTAATTATAATTCACATGACATTGTGATTTCTACAACAAATGTTTAAAAGCATGGAATATAAGGTTTGCCAAAAGATAGTGTACACTACATACATGTATATTATTTCTTTATGTAACTCTTTCGAATGCTTAAAAACCTCAAATATATGGTTTGGATCAAAATCAAGACAAGACTTACAATCCCTTAGTAGTTGGAATGATGTCATTAAGTCTATCAACGTTGGTTCCATTGATCTCATTATCAGGTAGTGGTATCTGCCATACTGGTACGTTCTTCTCTATTCCCCAAAATACTGCATGACCTCGTATTTTAATACTATGGATATATAACGAAATGTTTCGCATGAAAAGAGCTTTTGAGCACTGATTTACAGTGTAGATATTTGGTATTTTTATCGTTCCTAACCCCATTTATAGGTGGCGCTGCACAGTGGCGACACGTACTGCAAGGAGCTCTGCAAGAATTTCCGAAAGTGTAATAAAGTGTTATCTTATAAGGAATGATAAATTTTGGTTTATTTAGGTCATTTCATTTATTCCTTATAAATTATATCATTGATAGGTATATCATACTGATGTATTTTATAAACATATCTGTTTTAATCGGCTCAACAAGCTGTTGGACCCTACTACAAAAGTCGATAAGCTCTGGACTGAGATCTCGAATAGACGGTGTCCGATGGGGTGTATGATGGGGAGTTTTAATACAGTAGAAAAAGGAGCGAATCGTGTTCGCACTATTTTCTATCGATTATCTCCCACCGTACAGGACACCGGAACTAAATCCTAGTCTATTCACACCTATGCAATGTAAGGCTGACTTACCCTCTGGCTCGTAAGGCATTGATGGCGTTTAATGGTGTATCGTGATCTATTACTCCCTACAATACAGCCAAAAACAATGATATAGATATAGCAAATATAAATTGTTAATTACCTGGAATCTCATAGAAACATCTGAGAAATGATTTTTTTATATCTCATATTTATTTAGCCATGACCCATTTGCTTTTCTTTAGGTTACATGTTCAAACCTTAACCAAGTGACCAGGTGGGTTTGTGGTCACAATAATTGTTAAAAAATGACCAAAATCGTAAGATGAGGTAACTTGAATTAGGTAAGTTTTAGGTCTATATTTATATTTCTGGCTCTGATTCACGCTTCCAAAATCAAACATAACTTGGCAAAAAGAAAATTGTGATTGGTTTAGAGGTAATTTGTGGTGGTAAGTACGTATCATCCTTTCCAACTACAGTTGACTAGCGTAAGAGATGTCAGTCAGGCCTTATTTTACTTACCCGAGTCTTCTCCATTTGCTTCCACTTGAGTTTATTGGCCAGTACGCCCCATTCAAACGTATCGTAAAAGAAATCCTGATAACCTATGTAAGCAGGATCAACAATTAAATCAGATTGAATGGCACAACCAAAAGGAAACTCGCTTTTATCTTGAGAAAACTGAAATAAATCATTATTACTGATATAAGCACCATTATAAGCTTGTCCTGGTGCAGATTTTATACCTGAAACAACTTTACTGTCGACAACTTTCAAATAATGAACTCTTTTAATCTATACCATATTGAGAGAAAAGACCTTTGATATTGGTTATAGCGGGGTTCTGTTGGTTATAGACAATACTTAACGCTTAACGCGAATCCGAATTGCTGTATTCAATCTTCATATTAAGCCCATTAAAGCAGAGAACCCTTCATCAGGTTGATAACTCGAGCCTGTACTAGTTAATAAATAATAAATGAGTTAAATGATAATTACCAGAACTCTAACATCTGATGGATCAGCAATACCACTTGTTCTGAAATCACATTGTAAAATATATAATTAACCAACAAATAATCAAGCAGTTTTAAACTAGACAATCAATCTAGATTCCAAAATTAAGATGGAACTCCAATCTATTGTAACCAAATAATGATGCAAAGTCTAAGGAGAACACAACAGAAATTCGTGTCATTTGAACCCAAAAATGATGTATTTGTAGCAAAGACTACAGAGATCGCGGACAAGAAAAGTTTTGGCGAAAGTTATATTGGAACTTACGTGAATGTTAGTTGTGTCGAAAGTTATATTGGAACCTACAAGAATATTAGTCGTGGCAAAAGTTATATTAGAACTTACTAAGTTTTGACGAAATTTTTTTTGGAACTTACGTGAATGTAATTTTCTCCTTCCTCATTTTTTTAATTTCCCTATTCGCTTCAGACCGCCAGTTACCTGGGAGTGGTGGAATCTCGGCAAAGGTTACAGCATCCAGTAGATAGTTTACATTAGCATCTTTCAACAAAACATTAACAGTCATTGACTCGACGTCTGAAAATGTTCAATGAATCTGAATTAGGTAAAAATATATTTGGGTTTCATAATTGATTCAACCATAACATGCGTTTTGTATTTTCAATGTATTTTAATTCCATTTCAGATATTAATGATGTAGACCAATTTTCAAACACGTACATTTTCACAAAATTAAGGTAAAAAAATGCGTTGGTCGTAATCTAGTTTGAGGCTTTTACCTGCAGGAATAATTATATCACCACCAACTTCTTGCCATATTCCCTCTTGCATATATTTATTGAAACCCATGGTGTACTTCTGTTCACCTAGTAGTAGAACAGACTTTTAAACTACCATACTTACAAGAAGTAAACAAAAAAACATTAAAAAATGAAGACAGCACACCTTCATTTCACTTGGAATTCCTGACACATTTAGTGACCAAGCTAAAGTGTAATTATTACATTTTGTTGTTACACAGATTCTACGTCAAAGGTCAAACAACCTCTTTTAAATTCGATTTGATCGCAGTACCTAAGACGGAAAATAGAGTAATATCATAGTAAGACAGAACTACCTGAGGTTTTCTGTATCGTGGCCACTAACTTGATGTTACTAGTCAGACCAACTGGCGTATTTAATAGTTTAATATAGCCTTGAAAATAATAATTCTTATTCGCTTCAACATCCACATCAAAATGTATACCACCATTTGGAAGATTCCTGTTCAAAATTAATTAAAAATTCATTAAAGTATGGAAATATCATCCGATGCCAATCTCCATATTCTAGAGTTCAACTAAAATCTATCATAACCCAATCAATCTTGACAGTGCATTCAATTTTCAACCTCTATCGCTTTAATAAAAAAAAATCTGAACATTTTTTTGACCAATCATACTTTAGTCTCAGAAACGTGAATCTAAGCTAATCAGTAATAGTGTTCACAGCTTACCGTCGAAATTTGAGCCTTCAAATCCATGTGTGTCCAGAAATATCCGCGTTTGAAACTTAAAATTACGACTTGACTCTGTGATGTATAGAAAAGACATATATAGAGATAGTGAGTAAAATTCCTAGTTTGAAGTATTTTTAATGGAATGATGTGATTTTCGTACATTTCTGAAGACTATTTACATATATTCAAGATTCAAATCAACCCCCCCCCCCCTCCCCGAAATGGCGCATTCGTCCCTTTAAGTATTGTCCACAGATTGGCTTGATTATTTGAAATGTGTGTTGATGATAATAGTTACCTGTTTGTAATCTTGATGCTGCTACCACTAGAATAACTATCACTATCTAAAACCTTGTCACAATTCTTCGATATCCAGCCATTTGTTTCATTCAGAGAGTCAAACTCTTCGAATCCCGAGAATTTGACAGCTGCAGAGCTAACCACAAGACCAAGAAGGGTTATCAAAAACAACATGGTTACTGTGTCGTCTCCAGATTCCCAATGAGGTGAATCTTGTCAATACAGCCTTAAATAGTCTTACTTATACAATTCAATCAATACTCAAAGCAAAACATTGTCAATACCAGTCATATCACCTGGAATATCTAATTCCCATGAATATTATTAAATTAATATAAAATGTTTTGCATGGTTAATTTTGTTACTGTTAGCAAGTATTGCCTACAGCATTTGTTTACTCATTTCAATAATATAATAGGTTGATGACAAGGTTGATGAACTCTGTAAATTATTGTGTTAAAAAGGCTGAAAAAAAATTAACATGTGGGTCAAAACATTTATGATGATATTTTGTAAAAAGGAAAATTATGTAAAATCTGAAATTTTTATTCAATTGATGAACTTGGTGCTCCTTACGTGACACTATGAAGAACCCTTTGTAATTTCGATTGACACCCATATTTACTTTCATTCATAGAGAGTGCATTCAAATTATCCTTTTCAGAATCACAATCCAGAACTGTGCTTAAAGGTTAAACATTTGTAAAAGGACAAACTATAATATAAAGTTCGTTACCCTGTTTGATTATATACGAGGGTTAGCTGAAAAGTTCTAATCCTTAGTGAGATAATCAGATTTAAAAAAAATTTGACACCAACAAGTACACGCATTTGATGTAGAAACTGCCACTAGGGTGTTCTTCAATATTTGTGACAATAAAATTTATGACCGTGATTATATAGCCTGATTTGGCCCCTCAGACTTGAACCTGCTTTCAAAACTGAAAACGGAATTAGCCGGTCGCCATTTTGCTATTAATGATGACGTCATTTCCGCTGTGAATGACTTCTTTAGGGTGGCTGCAGAAAATCCTTTCTTGACTTGCATCGAGATCTGACAGCAACGCTGGTAAAAGTCAACTCAAAAGAGTGTAAATCTAGAAGGGGACTGTGTAGAGAAATAATTAAAACCCGTCGACCTAGTATGAGTCTTTCTAAGGATTTTCTGATACAACTCTAAAAAGTCATTAAAAGCAAAATAGCGACCGGCTAATTTCGTTTTCATTTTGAAACTTTTCAACAAGCAATCGTAAGCATGTGTAACTAAAAACATGTACTTGGCCTCTATACGCCATGTCATATTTTGTGTAAGGCTTGGTCTAATGCCTATGGTTCACTACCACATGGTGACATAAGTATGGATCAAATTTAAGTGCGTTCTTTTTTTTGTATTTTTACGATTATCACTGTTAGATAGTCTCGATAACAGATGACTAATAATTGTATTGTGATTCTTATCATTGTTCATTTCCTTCTTCCTTCTACTATTGTAGTTACTGATTCTAGATTACTAGTCCACGTGCTCTTAACATCCTGTCCTTTCTGATAATACACGTGTTTTAAATTGAAACTCATTTTGATGTAAAATGTCTCAATCTCACGAATAAACTGATAATAAGTTCCGAGCACACACGTGCTTTGATAATTTTCTGTGCCTTCTAATTATACAAATGTTTCAAGAAATTTACCTCATGTTTGTCTGAATGTGGTGGTGAGTAACCCGATTTACTTTTGCCGACTCAGATAAAAGCGTCTTATCATTGGTATGGAAATCCAAGTTCCGTTTTCTGTGAACAGTTGCAAAGTTCTGGAAACAGGTCAATGAGGCACCGATCCTGTACATATTACGACGACCACCATCTTTTGAACACGTCGGAAATATATGTCTATCGTGTTTCCTTTCAGCAAGAGAACCTCTTTTTAGGGACTGGTGAAATAATTATTCATGTTACGCGATATTTTAACTGACAAATCAATACGCTTGAACTGTGTCATTTTTACGTTTTGTAGAACCGGCCAACTCATGAGAGGTCATTTTGATTCGTTAAAATTCGGCGCCATACGAAGATGTTTGAATGAAGTGAACCACAACCCCTTCAATTTATTTACATGGTGTGTAATGTAAACGGCGATTGTGACGTCCAATTTTAAGAACAACAAAAACTTATGCAAAAAAACAAAATAATATTTTAATCTATGCAAAATATATACACAAAGGTAACTATACTAGTAGAAATAGTATGCAAGTAACATTCAAAAACTAAAATATACAATATTCAGGACTTTGGACAGGTTGACTTCAGCTGAAATTGATATCAGGGTTAAGCAACCTGAAGGTGTAAAATTTACCAAAACTGTGGCAAATAGTGGATCCTTTGGGTTTATTAATCTCATGTCAACTTTAACCAAACGTCATCATTTGGTTTGTTTCTCCTGGCGATTTATATCATTTTTATCAAAACTCATTGAAAATTTCAAAATTCAGTTATTGGCAAATTTTTAACTGTTGTCTGCCCAAAGCTTTAATTGGTAGAATTTCAATCCATTTCTGTAAGCTTGGTTGTCTTTATATATATATTGTATTTATTATACTGATGCAGCTTAATCCGATAAGAAATTTATTTACCGCTCGTGAACAATTGTGCGTTTATATACATGTATTTAATTTTTCTCGGAGGAAGCGATGTAGGGCTACAAGCACAGACAATGAAAGGAAATAAATTTTGCTTAGAAATTAAAAAAAGGTGGGTGGTCATTGGTCCTCTACTCCCCAATAAAAACTGCTGCTCACTGTTCACCATTAGGACCTCTTTTCAAATTGTAAGTAAAGAATTTCCTTGGGTTTAGTAAATCCCATCTGAGTAATTTCAATAGGGATCTGAAAAAAAAATAAAGCAATTGTTACTTTTGACGTACAAATGTGATATGATGCGTACATATGTAATTAACTTTTGAAGAGGAGTCTGATTAAAGTACAAGATCTAAATTAAATATTTCATTTTCCAATGCACAAATACTGCACTAAAAAGAACTTGTGGTATGCATAAAGTATATTTGAATAAGATACAAAGATTGTTCAATCATTTAAGATTTCGTGAAATTTTGTTTCGTACTGATTTGTCTTCATTGGCCCAATCAGAGGCAGAAAAAAGGCATAAAATGTCCAGGTCTCACTTTATGAGAAATAGCATAACTATTAGTTTGCTCTCATACACAATATTCAATAGATTACCGGTGATTTATCAGATTTAACAACTCTGTATTTCTGTAAAATAGACACCAAGGCCATTCTGGTTTCCATTATAGCAAGTCTCTGAGCAACACAATTCCTAGGGCCAACACCGAATGGTATGTACGAATATGGGTTTCGTTTGCTTTTTTCTTCCTCAGTGAACCTACAATTGAGAAGCACACTTACATCTTTACAATGTTAGGCTATTGTGAACTTCATACTTATACCTTGACTGCAATAGCTATTATTTTTGTATCATGGCAGCAGTTTCTAAATGAAGCGATTTGATTGGATTATATCCCAGCCAATCAGAGGCCCCGAACATAAAGCCATACTGTTTACAGACTTTCTGTCGAGGGATCTGATTGGCTTAATGTGCTGACGTGCCAGCCAATCGAATCTCCGCATTCCGAAATAAAAACGTAGCTATTGCTATTATAGTGGTATAAATATATAGTTCTTAATAAGATTCAGATCTGGATGTTGTCATTATATGCTAACCCAGTCGAAAGTAGGCAGCTCTTGACAAAACATGAAAGAGGAATGCTGAATCCTTGACATTAATCTATACATAAAAAGATAGCTTGTTAGGCAAGATAATAAACGCCCACTGGCAGCTTTGATTTGAATAAAAATATTTGGCAGTACAGTAACAATATTCTACCTTCAGTCATACTAAGGTGTTTACGAGCAATTGTGGACGGACGGACCGACGGACGGGTGACGCCAATATATGACCCCCATTTCATGTGGGCGTATAATAAATGACCATTCAATGATAGTTGTCTTTTTAACTTCCTCTATCATATATAGAAAGACCTATAGAATAGAAAGTGAAATTCCTAGTTTGGGACATTTTTGAAGGAATTAGGCTATCTTCGTACATTTCGAGTATCTCTGAAAAGTATTTATATACTATTTACATATATCCAAAAATATCCCCAGAATATGGGACAACTATCACTTTAGAGAAGTGTGTTTATTCCATAATAATGTCTTGTGTTCGTGAATTAATATGCAAATGGGCTAGGCCAGTACCCCACTGAGCAACTGTCAAATAAAAGAAATTACTAACCTCTCGGGATCAAATTTCTCGGGATCTGTCCAGTGATCGGGACTATGATGTAATAATGATACTGGTATGTGGACATCAAATCCCCTTTTAAACATATATCCATTAATAGTAATATCTTTACTAGTTTGTCGGCTGGTTCTGAAAGATTAAACATAATGTTCTCTTACTGCAGTATAATATATTGCACACGTTAGTTACTAAAACGTCATTGAGTCCACGCTGTGGTCAATTACCTTTTCTAAAAACTGTTCTAATCAAAAAGTAACATAGGTACATTGAAAAAATAAATTCACAGAGATACGACACGTACTTACGTTTAAAGTTGAAAAGCGCCATACATTCCTGTGACAATATTGTAAAATATAAATTTGTAGTGGCCAATTGGCACAAGTTTTCTGTAATCAGTCCATCATTTCGGTTAGTTTACTATAACCCATCATCTTCACAAGGTCAAGCTATTGCGACCTTTTCTTATACCTTAACTGCAATAGCCACCTTTTTGTATCACGGAAGTTTGTAAATGCAGTGATTTGATTGGATGGTTCGCCAAAGTATCCATAATGTTTACAGTCTTTTTGATTGGCTGTATTCGCTTGCGTGCAATCCAATTTTGTGAAACAAGAATGGCTATTGCAGTCAAGGTATAAGCCAGAGGTCGTAATGCCTTGAAATTGTGAAGATAGATGCATACACATAAAATATACTCACAACTGAGCAGGAGGATACATTCTTAAAACTTCACAGAAAAACTTATCTAAGTATGGTAAACCTCCGAATACACTTTCATAGGTTGGTGGAGCCTAGATAGAGAATATACCGATCAGAAATGATAGAACTAGTGAAACATTATTGCAATTTCTTTTCGAATTTAATTCTTTTGTATTATGCAACTGTCAGTTTTGGTGTTTTTCCTCTCCAAAAAACAACAGTGCCACTATCATATTGGCCAACTCTGGCAAATGTCGTTCAGTCTTCTTGAACACCCGATGCCGCTTAGTGACCGTGTAAGTCAACTCGGGAATCCTATTCGTGGAGCTCTTACTATAATCATATAGTTTACTCTTCCAGACATCAGATACTAATCTGGAGAGGTGTTATAAAAAGTTCATTAGCTGCTACCAATGTATTGTCAATATGTTGTTTTGGATTTCGGGTTTCGTTTTGCAGTTCAAATACAGTACAGTCTGTAGATTAATTATTAAAGTAACGTACTCCCTTCAATTTCTCATCTATTTCTTGTATTAATTTCTCTTGGCATTCTGGGTTGGTAACGAGCGCGTAACTGGCCATACTCAGATTACTAGAAACAGTTTCATATCCAGCCAGAAAAAATATCATCGATTGACTTTGGATCTCTGAATCAGTTAGACCTGAAATGATAATATCATAATAATAATAATGGTAATAATAATAGTAGTAATAGTAATAATGGTAACACTAATTATAATATTATTATTAATAATAAAAATAGTAAAAAAAAAATATCATAATGATGAAAATGGTAATAATAATTAGCTTTCCGAAAGTGAAAAAAAGTAGGAACTAAAATGGAAAATTAATCCTCAATATTTGCTCTTTATCTGGCAACGCCTTGGAGTGTGTAATGGAGGAAACAATGAAACGACGAAGGCATAAGCCTACTCTATTACATTATCCACAATTCCGATGAACCTTTCGTGTATCAACGTTGAAAAACCCGTGTAAGAAAAATATCCAACCTCGTTCTTTCCATTCTTGAGAATTTGAAGGTTGGTAATCCTTGTCCGTGATGTCTTTACCACTTGAGGAACTTTGAGCTTTCAACATCAATTCAATCAAATCTTTTCGAGACTGAAATAAAAGCAGGTATTTATACCCATTGTATTTGCTCAAGTTCAAGGGAGGTAATCAGCGTAAAAGTTGATATTGAAGTTAAGAGGAATTTTTATCCACGCTTGTATTTGCACATTAAACTAAGAGGTGTGTCAGAAAAGTTCCAGGTCTGGTGTCACTACAGATTTATTTCATATCCAAACTACACAGTTTTACTTTCGAAGTAAACCTCGATTACAAACACAAGAGGCGAGATTTGTTGCAGGACAACTCGTGGTTGCTTTGACAGGACACCGCACCTGTTCCCGATGCACAGAGTATCCCATAGTTCCTAGCCGAAAAGAACATCGCGATGCTGGAGTAGCCTGTGCTTTTTTCCTCTTCCCCAAGATCAAGGGGGGATCGAAGCTGTGGAGATTCCCCGGAAAAAAATTCCAGGAGTGCATGCAAGCGTTCCAGAGAAGGATGGGAGTTAGACTCCGGGAGGATTACTTAGAAGGGAAAAACTCGCAGTTTGTTGTTTAGAACTTGAATAAATCTGTCGTGACACCATGTGCAGTCCAATCAGCAGAAATTATGGACTCACCTAACACTGACAAATGCACATTGTCATTCAATAACAACATTTAGAAGCGGAGAGTTCATATAACGAAAACACAAGGGAATATATTATGGTATAAGACACATCTTTAAAAACAAAGTACATAACGTTTCTACATAATTTACACGTCGTCATCAGATGAAATGAAGAACTGCCTGTTTTGTTTCCTCCCTGCTATAGATTCTCATGTTTACACCTCTTCTTCATTTCATGTACATGTAAATTGTATTGAAATGTTAAAAGCTTTGTTAATGTTATTAAATAAGTAAGTTATACCATAGTATATTCCTTTAGGTTTTTTTTCATATACAGTATAACTAACCTCATTGCCATTTCTTCTTTCATCCATGACCTTTTGAGTTGCGTCAACGAAAAACTTAAAACTGCCATTTTGACCTGGCCAATAGTCTATCCAGTTGACGACATCTTTTAAGGGTGGTATTATAACTGAAATACACAGAAAGGAATTATCACATTGTATAGATGCTTTGTCAGGTGGACATTTGATTACGAAAAGCCTGTTATAGTTCAGCTAGTAAAAGAAGTATGGACAATCAAAAATCAAAGCTTGAAGAGTTGAAAATTGTCGTCTCCATCAGCTTAATAATTTGCACACCAAAACGTCTATATTATGTATAGTTTGATCTTATTTCACATAATACATGAATATAATACAGTAATAGATACGGTATAACAGGCTTACATGTAATCATATTCAATATCATCAACCATTTCTGGTTCATGACAATAGCCGCATGCTTGTTGAACGGATCGTCGGGATTTTCTTGAGAGTTTATCTCGATACCAAAAGCTACACTAGCTATCGTATCCATACTGTACGATGCAAATAACCTGAAACAGAACAGGACAACACAACGTGTTTTTCATTCTGTTATTTCATAGACATCGTCAAAGTTTAAAGCAATTCTCCATGATATGTCTAATGTCGGCAACTAGATTTTATAATACAAAATCTATATCAAACTCAAAGAAACACGGAGTGGAGTAAGTGTTAATTCTTCAACTATGTATGTAAAATATATTTAAGGAGTCGAAGTAATTGCCCATCCTAATGACCGAAGGTCACGCCAAATCAATTCTTGACAGTTGCTGGTAACGTTTATTTGGTATTTGGTTTGCTCGACAGCCTAATAATTGCCGAAAATGTTCCGCGAATATTTACACGTATTAATTCACTGATAGATAGTAGGCGTACATACTGTTTAACATCAATATTAGGATCGTTTTTTGACTTCATCTCGATAGCTTTTACCAACATCTCGCAGCAGTTGTGAATCAACGGCACCATCTACAATTTACACATGTGCGGATATAGTATAATTTAGAATAACAATGATCACCCGACGATAATATTGTTACTCATGGTTAAGATGTCTGAAAGCCCGGGCTCTCCAACACACTGAGTCATCGGGGGCCTTTCAGTAACCATAAAGGTTTCACACGTACAGATATTGAATTAAAAAGAGAGGTATTGGGGACATTATGTAGCTCCATCTTTTTAAACTCTATTAAAATGAAGTTAAAGGGCATAAAATTGCTCCCAATAACATTACTTTCGCCAAGGCTCGGGTAATATTAAATCTTGCAATTCATTTTATAATTGCATAATAAGCATTCGTTGAAGATCCTCTATAACTTACATCCTTCATCTTGCCTGTACTTAAACTGGGACTAACAACACCGCGTACAAACTTCCAGTGGTCATCTTTTAAAAACTGCATGGATTCTCTAAATGTAGACGGAATTGGAGCAACATCCTGAAATAAAGAATATTTGTCTATGGCAATAAGATATATCTAGAGACCTCTGACATTTTCATCAGATCTAAGCTGCCGGTTGATTTTAGGCTAACTAATCCCATTTCAGATTAAAATATCTCTCTTCATATATTCATTTCGTAAGATGGAAGTAGTTGAAAATTAACAAATTAACGAACTCACCAATCTGTTAACAAAGTTCGAACTGCCCTCTTTAACACAGACCTGTTTAATTATATCAAGATCTGTAACGATAACAGCGGGCACCTGTCCTAAGTAAGCTCTGAAATACCACAAACAATCAAGTTATATTCAAGCTTTATTATCGGGGCTAATTCAGCATCACTCCTTTTTTCTATCAGATGTCTGTGGTTCCTGTGGCTATCCCAAATGCTGCTAAAAATATCAAATGACGATTGCGATAGCTTCGATGATATCAGTGTCGAAAAACTTATAAAGTTTACACCTAAGCTGCTTTTTTCCGCTACGCGCAAGCAGATACGCATCCGTATGCGTGTGCACGATCCGTAATAACTGACATAACAGCTGCATATGTACGCAATTAACCATGCGAAAAGACCTGATCCAGTTAATGGCTTCCGGGGAAACACCTTTTCTTGAATTACCCCGATGTCATTATTGCTATTTTGTGATCCGCTCAATTTTCTATCAGTCCGTGGTACGACTTTCGCGTATACTCAATACAGATAAATGGGGTTGTTTAAACTAAAAATAGAAGGAGCGCTTTTTTGACGCTTGTTAGGAGACTTAAAGGGACAGATTCACCATCCGTTTGACCAATCGTACCTTAGTATCAGAAAAGGGAATTATGCGATGTAGTTTAAGTACTTCTAAAGACTATTTAAATATATATTCAAGCCACATAGTGGCAATACTACTCTACTAATACTTACCCTACAACAGGTCCATATTCGTCAGTGAGGTCTTTATGAGATTGCTCAAAACCCTGAAAACGAGGTAAATTTGGTCGGTTTCAAATATACTTTTAACGATCCATGGACCTGCAGGGTGCGGTCTGATTAGACGGAGAGCATTGCAGTACTACAACCGTTTTTCAAATGTTTCCACCTCTGAGCCACGCAGGAATAGTACAATGTGTTTATTTGTTAAGAAGTTACTTCATCTTTTTGGATATCAATGTATCATAAACTGATAGATGATGGGAAATATTTAGACTTATTTTTTTAATTTAACTTGCATATTTTATTGTCTCTCTATAATATTCCCCTTCATTTTCCCCTAATCGCATGTATACCTCGGAACATTCAACTTTTATCCATTGTTATATCCATTATTATTTATAAAATATCTGAGGATCTCATATTCCCCTAAACGCATGTATATCTTGGGACATGAACCTTGCATAATAATAATAATGAATAATGATGCATGCAGATATTCATTTCAGATTCAATTATTATTAGAAGTATTAGCTTACCTTTTTAAACATTGAGTTTATGTAAAGAAATCTACCAGGCGGGCCTTTAATACCAGTTCCTTTAAAGACATTTTCTCCCTGTCTTATAAACCTTTAAGGGTACAAAATATCGGATTAAATTACAAGACCCTGTTTCACACAATAAGATAAGGTAATATCCCAATTCAGACAGATTCAGTAAATTTGATTGGGTCATAATACTAGATTAAACATCGATTAAACTGATTGACCAATCAGATATACGTTCGATTGAAATACCGTTCACATAGATCAATGCCTAAAATTTGTACCACCCCACTTATCATTGTAATGTCTGAATCTACAATACCCAATGCTGTATTTAATCTGATAGAGTTACAGAATAAACACTGTTCATAATGACACGCTAAGTGCTGACATGGACATTTCGTTTAGCGCACCAATATAATTATTATCGAATTTAATAAAAAAGAAAGGCTATGCCATATACTACCAAAAGCATCTTATTTCTTAGGGTGTTTTCAGTCAATATTCGTTGCATCGTTAACGACCTTTCAAAATGCTTTTACAATCCTTTAAATTAACAATAATCGTCTAATATAAACTGTAATCAGTTCATTCCAACGCATTCTTGCTAATATCACAGATATGGAACCGGACCACAAAGGTCCAGATGAGTGTACAGATCCCCTCTGCATGTAAAAATGCATGTCATATCGCACAGTGCATACCCAATATTAAAAAATACTCACAGCATATAAACAGTAAATATAATAAATACAATAATGATCAGCCATAGAGGTATATCTATCAGGCCTAAAATCTCCATCTCAACGCTTCGAGGTTTCTATCTGCAATGAAAACAAAACATTTCATAATACTTAGAAATACACGTCCCCATTTTATACGATACTGTGTGACCAATGTCTAATTTTAGAATACGCGTCATAATGACATTGATGGCTGTCTGTTTTACTCTTCAAACGACCATATAAAGATAAGACCACTATATCATTGATAAAGACTATTGGATATTGCCATAAATGACTTATGTTTTAAAGGCAACAACATATATGAATATCATCTTATATTATATTGGTCAGCTTATTTGCATAACTATAGAAATTAAGTTATATTAGTAATAATTAAACATATAGAAAATGTCATCTTGTCCCAAGTATGGCACATAAATGGATTAATGTCAAATCCGAATAACATAACATGGCATACAAAAAGAGCATATTGTACTATAGATTTTCATATACATGCAATGGAATGAACCCTTTTAAATTTGGAGGAATAGTCGGGATATCGGCTTTATTTGTATCAACGACCTACATAAATACAAAGACACAGCTATATTAAATAAAATCACTAGTTTTGTGCTTTGTACTTTCATACTCTAAAATGGACCAGTGAAAATATATGATCATTACCAGCAGTTATACAAATTCTTAAAATTATTGTATACAATCTACCATAAAAAGTTAAACGCATTTTCATCGTTAGATTGCCGACCTTAACATTACTATCTCGGTGTTATCATTGCAAACGAAGCCTTTTCGCCAAACTCAGCTCCATAATGGTATCATGTGTTCTGTAAGGGTGAGGCAGACCCGTCCTTATTACTGAACCTAGCATAAACTTTATTTTGTTTACTCTCAACATAAACTATCAGTCTTACTTAGTCTCGTCACCACTGACTGTATCTGTCTATTGGATAGCTTGCTAGACAGGTCGTTTTATATTGATAGACTTATACATAGACATTGATACGTAGCTTATCTCCTTATTAGGCGATGTATTGTTTAGTTCTATCTCCTTATATGGTGATAGGCTACATAGCTCTTATTAGGGAATGCATAGCTCATTTATATCGCCATATTAGGAGATTTAGGGGGGGGGGGGGAGTTATGGGCCTTTTTATTTAGATAAACTGTTCTGGGAAATACGCAATGGGTAGACAAGCAAATAAGCCAGGTCGACACAAGACCCCATCCAACGTACAAATATTCATTCTCCGATTTTGAATGGGATCGAATTGGGTATGATTGAGAGAGAAATGGCAGTTTCGATATACTGACGAAATATCGACATAATATGTCATTATGGTGAGTCGAGCTGTCCGTAGAAAGAACGAAAGAAATAAAAGAAAGGGGATAAATGACCATTATTGAAAACATGGGTTCCACGGTACCTGTCAACTGTCATTTGGTCCAACCACTGAACCTTCTGAGTTATCCGTACGTTTCCATTATACTTATAATGACCATTTGAAGACCAATCTGATTCGCCAGCATTAACATTCAGTATTAGAAAGAGTGTATAATAAAGAAATATCGACAATATAAATATCCATAGGACCATACGTTAACTATTTCTTCTTCCATGAAAGAGGTTATAGCAGTAGGCTTCAGTGCATATATAATTGATACTTAACACTCACCTAATTGTGGCAAAATCTGCTCCAATATCAACACGAAATTACATCAGAAATACAAAATAACTAAGACTTATTCAAATTAAGTCGTATTTACATAGAAGGCAGACCTGTCTAGGATGACCTAGTTTTTGAACTATATATACCAATAGCCCTAGATAAAAAGTAAACATACAGTAAAGGTCCTATAATATTACTGTGATAAATACAATAAGTTGTAGGCTATAAGTATATATATTGTACATAGATACGGTCAGATATTGAATGAAAAGTCCAAGACACGACAACGCCTTGTTTGCTGTCGGTTTTATATTTTCTACGCATTATATAAAGTGGAAAACAAGTGAAAGTCATAGTGGCCAATCAAATATCACTTACTCCAATATGATATCAGTATGTAGGACATGAGTCTTTCTGTTAGTACCTTCCTGCAAACGAAAACTATAGGAAGTTTTGCATTTTACTACATATTCATGCAGTGATAACGGGTAAATAGCCCATTTCTCGTCGAGGCTTTTTTTTAGATCCAAAGTTAATTGTGCCGCTAGTGCTAATAAATGCTTGACAAAGCGAGGTATAAGTCCGATCCATGATTATTTGTAGTCGTTGAAATAAATGTAAATATGAATTCAACATTTGGGCTTGATATTTCTATCCCTTCCATACTGTGTCTCATTCAGATTCTCATTGATTTGATTGGCAGAAGAGTAGGACGTAAAACTCCATTCATTTCATTTCATTGATTTGATTAAAAATTAACTTAAAATTACATCACACAATACATTGTTCATTATACTCATGAAAGCAAAAGAAAGGTATTCAGGTTTCTGCAGTGAAAACAGTGGTGGTGCCAGGCTTCCGAAATTGGGGATACAAATAGGGGCGGACACACTCAATGGGGCTAACTGGGGGTTGTGGAGGTTTTTTTTTTAGTCGCAAGCTGCTCATTGAGCGTATGAGAGGGTTTCTTCAATGAAAACTTTAAAAAAAAATTGAAAAGATTTGGTGCATTTTAACACAAACGTATGAAAACCTATTTTTCAATTTGCTAAAAGTAACATGGGAGTACAATTGGGCGTGTAAACCATTTTTCTCGGGGGGCAATTGCCCCGCTTGTACCCCAAATGGGGTCGCTACTGAATTCCAAATATAAAAATAGACTGCTGAGTTATGGTCAAACTGTTTTCGAATCTAAAATATGGAAACACTCCACTAAAACATTTTATGCAAATGATTGTATAGGAATGTAGTCCAGGCTATTTTTAGAAATCTTCTTTCTCTCTCCCTTTTGGGGTTTTTGCCTGCCTATTTTTGGGTAAAATTTGGTCTAGATTTGGAATTTGATGTCTGAAATTGCATTATCTTTCAGATTTGGTGAGATGATGAGAGACTTAAAGGCGGAAGGCTAATTCTAAAAATAGTCGTTTTGTGAAGTGCCAAACTCTAGCGGATGAGTATAACCGGTAGTAGTCTACTTTCAATTTTAGTAGCTCAAAATTTTCATGGTCATCATATAATGAATTTTTTAGGAGACATTGAGAATTGGTCAGGCTTTCATTCGACATATTGGAAAGCTTTCAACGAGATTTCTGGAAAAAGTTATAGAAGGTTGAATTTCGTGTTTTAACATGGGAAGAGATGGCAAATGAATTAGTGGAGTGAGTCCATTTTAAGAATAGAAAATATTGCACAAGAGTTATCTCCCTTTTGGACCGGTCAAAATCTTTTCATTTTCATAATAGCAAATATTGCGGTTGTGTCTCACCGGAAAGACATGTAAAATAGTCTCCACAAACTTCCTCTTAAAGTCGTGGGAAAATTTTACTAATTATAGCGTTTGACACGTGCCAATTTGATTTTACATTTGTTGGGAAAATGTATAGTAGCTTTTCCAGACTACCCATATGTCAACTGAATAAGATTCTCAATAACCCCTCAATCCGAAAGATAAATTTATCGTGAGGTATAACAGGTTTCTTTAACTATATTATTCATGCCATTTCCAGATTTCATAATTTGTTTAAATTAAAAAAAAACTGCAATCTGAAAATAACGAAGAAAATGCAACGAGATTTATCAACAGAGAAAGCAAATAATAAGACCCATAAAGGGGCCGTTAACTTCCTTACTGGAGCCTGTGGGGGCAGATATGACTATTTTTATTATGACATCATATATCTGATTGGTACTGAGCTAGTCTGATTGAAATCTTGAAGACACAATATTTATTAAAGTAAATCACCATAACACAATGTAGATAGTAGATTACATGTTTACCTCCGGGCATTACAATTACTTAACATCCCTGAACATTATCAATAGCGCATGCGCACTGTCTTATTGGAGGCATAGGGATATGAGGGTTGTTCTAAATATCTCGAAATATTAATTCAATTTGTTATAGAAATTGTTTTGCAGAAGACGGTTGTGGTTGTAGATGTTATACTGAAATTCAGTTTTAATTGAAATATCATTGTATGGATCACTACAGTTAATCTTAATTTAATATCAACCACCAACAATTTAAAAAGTATGGCAGTTCTACCTCCACCTTCAATTTATATCCAGTGCCACGTTTAATTTGGAATCCTGTGTACCAGAGGGTTGTAATACCGTAACTTACCTATCGTTAATCTGGATTTTAAATGATATTGTGTAGTATAATGTTATTATTTTAACTTTTGATTGATTTGATTGAGTATGGAGCCAATTCCACGTGTTGAGATTTCTTCTAACAAATCATATGCCTCGTCAAGTGACAGACTCTCGTCCCTTAGAGATTTTAGTGACTCTCAAGGAACCCTGCGACCATCATGGTTGCGACTCATGGATCATCCCGATATTTACAGTCATATGGGATTTTGGGGGAATTTAAATTCAAAGGTATGTACTGTTCTTCAATTATAAAAATCCCGACTTTTGGGTCTTTCAAAGATGGTGAAATAACACGACATAACCTGTAGAGTGACGGACAGGATCGTGTATATTTAAGATTTTCACACAGTATATAGTGGAAGTTTGAATAAGCATCAACTAAAGAACAATCTATTTCAGCCGAATGAATCATATTCTTGGGCATTAATATAGCCTAACATCGGCTCATTTTCCTCGGGTTTGTTACTTCTATTCGGCATTATGATGGCATCTTAAATGATTCGGCATTCGATGCTTCTTGCATTTGATTTGAAAAGTCTTAACGGGTATGTCTTAAGTACATTGTCTGTATGGCGTTTGGGGTGTTCTAAGTTTCGATGATCGACGAGAATTGGGAAGTCTGGGTTTTCGGCTTGAGTTGACGCTCGTTAGCATTGAGCCCCAAGCTTCGAAGGCGATAGAAGAATTTCATTCCAAGCAAGCTTTCTCCCGTCAATCCAGCCAGAATTAACGCAGAAAAGGCGACTGTAGGCCTCAAGTAAATGGCAGACCTAAATCTTTAGTAAATGAAGGTTATGAAATTCTAGCCAGCTCATCCACGATTCCTTTCTTATTATAAAATATTATAACTAAGTCATTGGATTTTGGTTTTTAACTTTCCCAACCGTAAACAACATTTTGTGATCTGGGAGGGGAAAAATCATGGAAGGTGGTATAGACATCACCGCTATAATGTCAGTCGTAATATATTTGGATCAAGATAAGAAGGGACCAGGCACTGGGTTCATCCACTGCATAGTAAGCAAAATAAATGCAAGGTGATTGAAGAATTGTCTGAAACCGCTAAGAATTGTAGAAACCAAAAATAAGGAAACTCTAAGACAATATATTCAAAATCGAACTCTTAAGACAATTAAAGGCGTTGTCTGATGATCACTATGAAATGACATCACTTGAGATGTTCACGGATCCATAAAGATGTTAATCTTGTTATGTTATTGTTGTTAGATCATTTGATAATTAATCTACAATTCAGTTGAAAGGACTGGATAAACAATGTAGATGATACGGTCTAACACCTTTCGATTACAGCTCTATCTTAAAACCCTCCGGCATATTTTAATGCTGGGAGTAGCGTGGCGTAAAGCAGATAAAAGTTCACATAACCAATTCAAAGTTTTAAATATCTAAGTACATCAAAAAATTCCACGTATACCTTCAAAATATCAAGGCTGAGGATTCAGCATCTTGATGTTTAACACTTTCTTACTTATTTCATGATGCTTTTTGCAGCCTGCAACACGATTAACGCCAAATACACAGTTCACCAACCCATTTACTGTCAGCCGCATCGACTCAACAGATTTCTCTCATATTAAAACCGACATAGAATCTAAAGATGGGTACAAAAACACTAGTGACAGTTCTGGATCATGGACGCTAGAAACTAGCCAAAAACCTACACCACATCGACGACGTAATGCCATATTTATTTTCTTGTTAACAGTGGCATTTTTTGGTATCATTGCTCTCGCCACTACTACCGCTTTATACAGTATTACCAACACTGATTCAGGTAAGAATTAATCTGGTTGTGTAAGCAATAAAGAGATTGTAAAGAAGTTATTTAAACTTTTTACGTGTATCGGGGACACTAATATCATCAATTTGCGCTATTCCAATTTTCAGTAAGACGTCTGTCTGTCAGACGCTCTTGTAATCCCACTAAAAGTAAGCTTTGGCAAAAACTGCTATTGATGTATAAAGAACTTGTCGATACTGATAATGCATAGTTAAAGTGGAATTGTAAGAACCTCACACGTTGATTGAAAAGTTAAATGGTGCAAATCGAAGCTTTTAGTGCACCTTATACATGTTTTAAGAAAAACCTTAAAGAAGTTGATGATCATACAGAATATTGATAGTTGATCTCTTACAGCACTGAGTTTTAATAACCTGACGCAATACGCCCCACAAAAATTCTTACCATAGGAATATGTCGTAGAATTTTAGAAATACCATACTAAAGACACAATTGATAGTAAGATATTTCTTAGGATCGGAACCTGAAGCCCACACACACTAACTGTCTTCTGTCTAATGAAATGGGGAACAAAGATTAAACGAATTCGTAATAGTGGTTCTATATTTGCTTAGCTGGTGACACATACACGTCTGATCAGAAATTTAATTTGAACTACTGACGAACCGCTCAGGATGAAATCGAGTGCTACATGATGTTCGAAGGCATGTGCATATGCGTTCTGACCAAAATCTAAGTTGTTGGTATACATTCCCTAGATGGTGTTTACAATATTTTTCAGATGCTTTAAAATCAACTCTAGGAAACTCAGGAAACATAACTGGAGAGGACACCAGTAAAGCGGTAATTGGTATTGACACATCTACCTTCTCAACAGCTGCAGTTAGCAGCACGCACATGGTGGATGAAGGCTCAATATTAACTTTAGATCATAGTTATTTCCCTATATCCTCTAGTTATCCATCCGTGGAATCATCATCTGTGATCAATATTGTTCACACCGACTATCTACCTGATGTTGTCGATATTGGACAGAAGACTATGGTGCCTCAAGGTCCTTTCGTAATATCCAGCAGTGAAATGTGGATTTCCGATTCCATGGTTGAGACAAACACACCATCATTTATAACAGACATGACACACTACACTCTTCCATAATCTCGACATCTGACCAT